GGATCGTTTCGGTAAGCCGCAACAAATTGTAACAGCACACATGGACGAAATACTCAAGATCCAAGCTTGCACTAGCGATAAGTTATCTGCTTTAAGATTTGTATACGACAAGATCAGTGTACATGTACGCGGCTTGGCTTCCTTGGGTATCTCTTCAGAGCAATATGGAAGTTTATTAATACCCATAATCATGTCAAAAATGCCAAGCGATGTTAGATTACAAATCGCTCGAAAGTCAACTAAGGATGTTTGGGTAATCGATGAACTGCTTCAAACAATCAAAATCGAAATTGAGGCGCGCGAAGCTAGCGAGGCAACCAAGGCAACTGAGAACAGTTCACATAAATTTCCGAAATCGCAAGGTTCAGCAAAGGGATATAACCCCCCTACTGCTAGTAGTTTAGTAGCCAAAACAAAGGACGGTGGTAGTTTCAAAATACTAAGCAATTATTGGATGAGGCTGAGCATGATATCAAGAATTATTCAGACCGAGGTCAATGTTATCTGCCGAAGCGAAGCTGAGGCGGATAACATAGACCGAGGTCTGAATAATTCTTGATATTATGCGAAAGCCGAATCCAATAATTGTTTTATTATACATTTAAAGACATGAGAAACGTATAAAACGATTCCTGTTCATGAGGTAGGAAAAGTACAATTTGAATATCAAACACCTTGCACAAAGTCAAAGGTCAGCTAAATATTCTATTTCTACTTCTATTTCTAATTCTACTCCTTATCTGCCAATAATTTGGACAGTTCACTTTCATTCAGCGAAGCAAATCTGCTGTAGTCCATTGTTTGTTTGTTTTCCCGCGCTTATAGGTTCAAGCTTTTGGCCGCGCAAGGGTTTGGGCACGAGAGAGTCCAATAATTGTTTTTTTGGATGCAAGTTCGATCCAAAAAAACAATTATTGGACGCTGATGACGTCATCGGCGGAAAATACGTAATAAATGCCGAATACTGAAAATTAGCCGGTGCTTTCTGACCAATTAGAAACGAGAATACATGTTAAATGTATAATAAAATGTGTTTATTGTGAAGGGAGTCATTATTCGGCTTCATGTGACAAGGTTATTAGTTCTGAAGCACGTTAGAAAATTTTAGGAGAATCTGGTCGCTGTTTTAATTGTTTGTATAAAGGTCACCATGCCCGAGATTGTACCAACCAGAGAAGATGCCGTCATTGCTCAGGTAGACATCATCAGTCTATCTGCGCTCGAATCGATAAGCCAAAAAATAACGAAGAGACTAAACATGAAGATAATCAACCGGAAGTAAATTCGAATTTGACAGTGACTGCCACACGAGTATCGCAGGGAACTGTTTTATTACAAACAGCTCGGGCTGTTGCGACAAATGGTGAGAAATCAGTACCAGTGCGAGTACTATTTGACACTGGAAGTCAGCGGACCTACATCACTAATTCAGTTCAGAGACGGTTGAATGTAAAGCCCACATCGAGGGAAACACTTAATTTGAATACATTTGGCGACAACAAATTTAAGCGAAAGGATTGTGATGTATATAAGCTTACTTTAGAAAGTAGAACAGATCGAGATAGCGTCGAAATTTCTGCCATTAATTTCCCCACTATTTGTTCTCCTGAACGAACAAGGGTTAACACAAGTTATGCACACTTAAGGGGACTGGAATTAGCAGACCACAACGAAGACAGTAAGGATGATACTATTGATATCCTTATTGGGGCTGACCACTACTGGGATTTTATAACGGGAGACATTGTTCGAGGTGAAGGTGGGCCCACAGCCATTAGCAGTAAGCTAGGTTGGTTATTGTCGGGTCGCACAACTCAATCTTCATCCAACAACCATTCCAGCATGTCCAACCTCATTTTAGCTGGTGATACATGCCAGAATTCTGCCATTCCAAATCGAAACGATGAAATTGTTGATTCACTAAAACGATTCTGGGACACTGAATCCATTGGGATCACTGATAACAAACAAGATTCCCACCAAGATGACAAATTTCTGCAAAACATCCAATTTACAGGTGAGCGTTACAAAGTGGGACTTCCATGGAAAGAAGAGCGTCCTATGCTAGACAACGACTATAATTTATGTTACAACCGACTGCGTTCGTTGTACAGCAAACTAAAGAAACAACCGGAACTACTTCAAGAATACGATAAAAGCATCAAAGATCAAATAGAATTGGGAATCATTGAGGAAGTACCTCGTGTGAATGGAAGCACAAGCAATAACCAAGACAACGATAATGTACACTATCTCCCACATCACGCTGTTGTGCGTGAAGATAAATCCACTACGAAATTACGTGTAGTATACGACGGTTCTGCTGCTACCAAAGAACGGAACTATTCACAAACGATTGCCTATATATTGGTCCTAACAATATTCCTCATTTATTCAACATACTCGTGAAGTTCAGATCCCATGCAGTTGGATTGGTTGCAGATATAGAAAAGGCATTCTTAATGGTGGGCATAGATCATGTGGACCGAGACATGCTACGTTTTCTTTGGGTTAAGAACATTCAGGAACCGATTCCAGAAATCATCGAGTTTCGATTTACCAGATTAGTCTTTGGATTAAGACCATCGCCTGCTATGTTGGGAGCTACGATTAATCATCACTTGAATTTATATGAAGACGAGAATCCTGATGCAGTCAAAGTATGAAAGAATGGCCTGTATGTCGATGATTTAGTTTCTGGGGCTCCGAGTGATGACGAAGCATTAGATATTTACAAGGGCACCAAAGGCATCATGCTAGCTGGTGGTTTCAATTTACGTAAGTGGGCTTCCAATTCGAATACTGTTGTTGAAACTATAACCCAGGCAGAGAGTAATATCGATTCAGACAACAAACCCTCGTCCCCAGCCATGATCGAGGAACCCTCGTCCCCAGCCATAGTACCCTCGTCCCCAGCCCTGATCGAAGTACCCTCGTCCCAAGTCGTGATCGAAGTACCCTCGTCCCCAGCCATGATCGAAGTACCCTCGTCCCCAACCGTGATTAAAGAACCCTCGTCCCCAATCGTAATGGAAGAAACCGAGTCCTACACTAAAACAACAATCGGTCAAGAAACCACTGTGACAAAGGATAAATGCGTCAAGGTACTTGGGGTCCTTTGGGACAATGAGAATGACACGTTTATGTTAGAATTTTCGAGTTTGGTTCAATATGCTCGTTCCTTGCCAGCGATGAAACGCTCTGTGCTAATGGTTACTTCGAAAATCTTTGATCCTGTTGGATTTCTAACACCATTTGTCATCAAGATGAAAGCATTATTTCAAGAATTGTGTGTCGAAGGAAGTGAATGGGACGACGAACTCAAACATAGACTTCTAACCAAGTGGAACACAATATTAGTCGAGTTAAATACCTTAAATGATTTACGGATTCAACGATGTTGTTTTAAATCTACAGAAAAGCCGATGAAGATACAGCTACATGGGTTTAGGGACGCCTCCAAAATCGCATATGCCGCAGTTATTTACATGAGATCTTTATACGAAAGTGAAACATCGAAGTAAGACTCGTAGCTTCAAAATCGAAGGTGGCGCCGTTAAAGGGACAAACGATTCCTCGCCTAGAACTGTTAGGTGCAAACATTCTAGCAAGATTAATCGCCACAGTGCAAGGGTGTCTATTTGAAGACAATTGCAACAATCAAGAAGTTGAGATAATTCATTGGACGGATTCCATGACAGTCCTATGCTGGATCGCGAACGATAAGTTGTGGAAGCAGTACGTAATGCATCGAGTGGAAGAAATTCGTCGATTGTCCTCCAAGGATTTATGGAAGTTTTGTCCCGGTACGGAGAATCCCGCAGATTTGCCATCTCGTGGAGTGAAAGCAAACGACCTTGTCTCCAACAAACTATGGTGGGAAGGTCCTGAGTTTCTTCAGAAATCCGAAGATGAATGGCCAAAATGTTCATCAGAGGAACCAGATACCGCATTAAATGAAGTAGTTAAGAAACAACCAGCCGTGACGCACTCTTTGGTAACAAGGGCTCCAACTCAAATCCACCAGACATTACAAAGAGTATGAATTGCGAAAATTTCTGTACCTTGACCCGCCTTTTTCGAGTGACCGCATACGTTTTGCGGTTTATCAACAATGTCAAGAAGTGAACTAGAGATCGAAAAATCACGAAAATGACGAAGCCGAAGGACTTATCAGCCTCCGAGATCAACGCTGCAGAAAACATCTGGATTCGGTCGATACAGAACGGTTCATTCCCGTCAGAAATAGAGTATTTATCAAGCAAGAGTCAAGGTTCGATACCGAATCGCGTACGTCAGTATGGACTGTTTATCGATGAACAAGAGCTCCTTAGATGCGAGGGAAGGATTGACAAGGCAAATATACCACGAGAGAGTAAAAATCCAATGCCAGGGGCGGATCTAGGGGTCGTCAAACCAGTCACGCGACTAACGTAAAAATCGCAAACTTAATTAATGTCTTAAATATTCGACCAATAGTCCAGTTATTTTTTATCATGCAGCGACACCTTATAATAGTCCAGTATCTATTATCATGCAGCGCTATCAATTAACATTCCAATTGAACTGTAGTCCAGTGATCAAGTTTCATACAGTGGTTGAGCCGACGAGCTTAGTCAAGTCAATGAGCAGCTGACATACGCAAAGTCGGTCAGTCAAAAAGTCAAAATCCAGTGTTCTGATTGGTCTAGACGCTTATTGCCATGGAAACATGCGCATTTTTTTCGATTTTGACTGATCTGTGGGGAGTTCTGACTGATTTACAAAAGTCAGGGGCGCCCCATTAGTCGAAATATCATTAATATTTGACGCGTGGTAAAGTCTTTCCGAGCGCGCGCTCATTCGAAGTGTCATGTTGGAGCTTTGTCGAAAGATTCAATTTAAAGATATCTACGGAAAATTCGGAAACGTCTGCTGCTCATTGGTTTGTAGTATTTACGAAACGGTTCAATCCGGATTTGCGGTGAATGATTTAGCTGTCTTTCAAGACTGTTGCGCTGATCTTGGGAGGAAAATCAACACTAAATATCGGAGAGTTCCATTCAGTGAGCAGTTGCTAAACGGCGTAACGCGTAAGCGCCACGAATAGCACGAACTACAGTTTGACTGTTTGGGTAGAAGTATTGGCGCCGAGATCTTTATTCTGAAGTGCAATAAGGTACATTTAATGTGATATGTAAATTTTATTTCGTTTTAGACAGCATAACAATATTTATAAGCGAACAAGATGCACGCCATGCATATGTAAAATTGTAACTTGAATATGCGTATCTTGATTTAGATTTAGCTACGAATTTTGATTTACACAACAAATTTGCATATTTGTAATTCTGCGGTTGAAGGACCGTCAGAACTCAGAAGGCTATTAATATGGAGGATAACCTATATAAATGCATTAATGCAGTATACATAGGATATAAAGGTCAGGTTTTATCAATGAATGTTAAGACTTTAATACTGATATATGTTTATTTGAGTAATATGACACTGTTGTGATTACAGGTCAAGTGATCAATGATTCAACAAGGCTATTAGGCAACAAAAATGAGTGTAGTACTATCATGAGATAGTTAAACATAATACTAGCAATGGCCGTAATTTGATAAAATGAAAAATCTTCCACAATTATCACATATATTTCTGCAAGTACTTCCCCTTTACTTTTCCCTAAGGAGCGATTTGTGAGAGTCAGTCAGACTGATAGTTGCTATAATTATCTCCCATTTCATGAAGTTAATTTTTTGTTGAAGCTGCTTTCAGAGTGATGCAAATTGCGTTTCTGAGGTTTAAAAATATAAAAATTCCTGGGGGACAGACCCCCTCTAGGTGCCTCGCGCATTCGCCGCTCGCGAAATTAGATTGTACATCCGAAAACTTTGACTAACGTACGAAAAATCCTGGATCCGCCCCTGAGTCAACAGTGGTGCGCCAGTTAAAGGAAAGCGTTGAGGTCCTCACCGAAAAGGTTAACCAACTTTCCGCATCGGTAAATAACATCAGCGAAGTGGCAGCGATACGAACGGAGAACCCCCGTTCAACAAAGCAGTAATTCTCGTTCCGGCGTTGCCCAGGGTCATTTCTTCTACGATCATTTCTTCGCTTGGGTTGTCGACATTCGTTCGCGATATGGTTAAATCCGCCGCAGTTATAACAAGGTCTTCATATGGGGCTATTCATGTCCTGTTGACCATACCTTCAACCATATTATGTAGTGTTTTAGTCTATTTTATGTATGGTTGTAAAGTTAATAAATAAGCTCTACCTTTATTGCGATTAGCGGTTGTCCGGTTATCCCAGATAAATAACGGAGCCTTTTTTTCTTGAAAGTTAAAAGTTCTGTCACGAATAAGACAGAACTCAGACGAAATACTTAACTTATTAACCCATTTACAGCCAGCGCTCTACAAGTAATATCGTCTGCTGTTAGACAAAGTAAAATAATAAAGTAGGGGTTAAGAAGGCAAGTTGGCAGAATCACACGTTGAGCGCCAGTGCTCTTCATTGACGAGTATCAAAATTGTTTGCCAATGGGTAAATGCTAGTAGGAATTTTTCCCCAACCTTTGTTCCACACTGTTTGCACGACGTTTACTTCGAATTCGTGAATCATGAGCCTTTTGTTCTTTCACCAGCGGTTGGCACACCGCACTGGGTAGGTACTTCATCATGTAGGGATATTTCTAAACCTGACCTTAAACATATCTCTAACCCAACATAATAGTTAGGAATGAACACCTTTTGTACAGGTGTCGCGCCAACCGTGGAATTGTTAGTGCTACGGTCCACACCTCGTCTATATTGGCGAAAGAGCGGAGTAGCTAACCAACGCGAATGGGTACGAGGCAGGACAATTCGCATCTGATTCGCATCAACAATTTTCCAGGCGGTAGCTGTATCTATATGTGTGTTTTCGCCTACCCAAAGAAACGTCAAAAAAAATGTTTAAATTAAGTGTCGCCCTATGGCCCTAGCACAATTATATATAATTGAAATACTCTATTACTCAGCTAAAATTTATCCACTACTATTTTGTGAGTCGTAGTGTCCCCTAAAATACAATAAAAATAATTTTAACGCTAATATTGACTCTGTCTTCCATTGATAAAGGTAGCTAAAGTTGATAATTGAAGACAATGGATCCCGTAGAAGCAAAAGCTAATTTCTTTAGAGTATGTCAACTGTTGATAGACAAAGGAGGCGATGCTTTAAGAGCTGCTTTACATGTAAAACATCTGCCTTCTACTTTGGCTGCTGATTTAAATTCCCACAAGAAGACCTTGCAGAGGATAAGACACACAGTGATTAAACCCCCACAATGGCAGTTACTATTTCCAGCTTCGGGTGTACCAAATTCAAACGACTTTGATATAACTTTATTAACCATTCTTCTCAGAAATATTTGTGGATTGCCTTCACCAGCAGCAGGATGGAATGCTATGCCTCCAGCAAGCGATACGTCTATATCTGCCAATATTTTGAGAATCAAGTTGTACAGAAATGATGTCTATGGTCATATATCAAGTGCTCAATACGACAACGTCAAGTTCGAGACATTGTGGCAAGACATTTCGAAACCTTTAGTCAAGTTAGGAATTCCTCAACAAGATATTGATGAATTAAAGGAAGCTCCTCTCAGTTCTGAAGAAGAAAGTTATATTGATAAATTAAAGGAATGGAAGGAAGAAGAGGATGACTTATTGGAAAAATTAAAGGATGTCGAAACAAAAGTCGATAATGTGGAAGAAAAAATCGCAAAGCTTCAAAAAACAGTTGAAACTGAAACTTTAAATTTGTCCAATGTCAACCAACTGGCCAAGTTTGACTTCACTGGAAAAATTGATGGTCTGTGTAAAAAATTTCAAGATGGCACCAGAGATTGGTTTTTTGAAAAGCTGTCGAGTTGGTTCAGTGATGAAGAATCTAGAGTTATGATTCTGACTGCAGGTCCTGGCGTTGGAAAAAGTGTTCTGTCTGCAAAGGCTTGTGAGCTGTATAAGCAACGTGGTGAACTCGCATCATACCACTTTTGTGATTAGAGAAATTCCGATTTCAGCAATCCTCACAGAATTCTCCAGTCACTTGCCAGCCTAATGTGCGACAATGTTGTTGGATTTCGCAATAAACTAGCTGAAGTTCTTCGCCGTGAACATTCTCGAGACTCGCTATCAGAAGCCTTTCGTGTTCTTTTAAAGGATCCACTACATGCCCTTGGCAAACGTGAGCCAATGCTGATTGTTGTAGATGCTTTGGATGAGAGCAAAACTAACGACAAATGTGAATTTTTGGAGTTGATATCAGACGAATTTTCTGAACTTCCACAATGGATTAAGATATTCATTTCAACTAGACCAGAGCTGCAAGTACGAAAGAAACTTCAGCATTTCAAGCCTTTGGAAATCAGTCCTGATGACGACAATCACAATATCGACTTGGGACATTTCATTCGGCATTGTTTGCCGAACCTAGGTGAACGTAATGTAAGTTTGCTATGTAAGAAGTGTGAGGGTTCGTTTCTGTATGCTTATTTCCTCGTGCATGAGTTAAAAGAAATGGACTTGGGAATTGAGCCCAATCTAAGTGATTTTGCCCCCAAAGGGATTTCCGGATTTTACGAAAAACAGTTTAAACGTTTGAAAACAGGCCTCCAACATGTTAAGCCGGATATCTTTCAGAGTTTTGTGAATGTTGTTGCTGCAGCACGGGCACCCCTCCCATTTAAGATTATTTTAACATGCATGGACGTGACAGATTATAAATATGAAATACGTAGAGGGCAATTAGTGATATAATGTCTGAGATTCTGCCAGTTTATAACGAGTGTCTAACGGTTTATCATAAGTCGTTAACAGATTGGCTGACATTAGACGGGTATGAGGAGCATGCATTTGTAGCAGATGTTGCTGACGGCACTAGACGTTTATGGTTCGCTTGTGAAAGCATATATAGTGATATAAATTCGCTTAAGTCTGTGCATGATTTTGAATTTTCTGCCGAACAAAAGTTTGCATTGCGTAATGGTGCGGGGTATTTGGTGAACGATGGTGACACGCAAGATTTTCACTGGTTGGTGAACGTTAAGTTGAATTTCCTCAAGCTGAAATTTTTTTGCGATGTTAATGTTGATTTTTGCCAATTTCTTAAGATTTATAGGTCGAAACGTTCCGATCATCTTTATTGGGAAATTTTTCAACATCATAATATCCTGAAATCTTTGCTTAATAACCATGGTGATGAGAAAACAAAGTGTCACATTTATTTGCAGTCGCTTGCCAACGGGTATTTCAATTTTATGCAAAATAGCAATAGTTGTGAAAATGACGCTAGAGGCATCCTAGATAAAACAAAGCTGATTTGGATGGAAGATTATGCAAATTCAAAGAATACCAAATACAAAAGTATTTCCATGAATGCGGTTTTTGGAAAACGTCTGAAATGTATGGCTTCATCACCAGACTACAAGTTGCTTGCGTGCTTACATGAACAGAGAATTGTAGTCTTTCAATTGCCATGTCTGACCATGATATTTGAATTGGAAATAAATTGGACGGAAAATTCTAAGTTTCTCACATTTGCTCCAGACTCTTCCTACTTCTTACCCAGTTCAGTCAGGTTTTCTATCTGTATTAGAGAACAAAAGGAAGTGCCGTTCATTCCACATGGTCCTGCAAGTATTCTTTCTTGCTCATTTTCCTCGTGTGGAATGAGACTTGTTACATCAGAAGACGATTTTGTTAAAGTGTGGGATGTAAGAAAAAAAGATTTATTAGTAAAAGTTGCAGTTCAATTTGACCATCTATACGACTGTGTATTTAGTAGCTGTGACACATACATTATTGGACGTGCCAGATTTCGCTATCCATATTTGTTGAAGTGGCCAAATTTCGGCACATTTTCTATCTGGGATTCTAAAACATTGGAAAAGCAAGATAATGGCAATATTTGTGTTGACGCTTGCCTGACGAATGACAATATTCAAATTGTTTCACTGCCATTCTCATTTTCTGCGCATTCCAATATTGGTATTGAAACTCGTCATCTACACTTGCCAAACGGTGAAATGGTTCTAATAACGAATAAACAATGTTCAGAACCATTTACTTGGAATGGCAGAAAGTGTGTGCTCTTATCATCTTCTCTCCCATTTGTAGTGTACGATGTTATAAAACAGGAAGTTGTTGACACGTTTCGGATTGATTGTTTACCATGTGGTACTCGTATTATGTGGGTGTCAAAATTAGATGGGACAGATTTCCTTATTTGCTTTAATAATAATGAACTAATTCTTTTATCATTTGAAAGTAATCATACAACAGAGTTTCTCGTTCATCCTTTCGTCAGCAATGCGGATATTATATGCCATACGTTATCTGCAGACAATTTGTATATAGCATACTGTTACGAAAAATGTATTGTGATCAGAAGTGTCGATGGAAACTTAATACAATTTGTTGGACTAAATCAACCACCGGTTGCTTGCTGGTGGTCAGAATTGTATTTGTGGATAGTTAGTGGTGGAGGTGTAGTCGTAAAATATCCTTGTGATTCTACTTGCAGAATAGTCTTAGGAAATAATGAAGAGGAATGTACTATAAAGTTCGATTCTGTACTTAAATTTGCAGAAGGTGTTCTTGTCATTAAACTTAAAGACGAAATTTCTATCTTGAAAATTTGTGACAACAAGCTTTGCTTTCAGGAAATACCTGATCATCATTTTTGTGCCAGATATGTAGCAATAAGTACAGATGGGTGTGCTGTTCTGTTATATGAGCCTGGTTTTTTGTCATCTGGAGTGTCTCAAGTATGGGAAATAGCGTGTGAGAACAAGTGGAAATTAATCTCATCGAAAGAGTTTATTTTTGATGAGGATGATGGGTATTGGGATTATGTCGGGAACAGCTGGCTCTTTTTAGCTGGCACACGAAACTCTCGACGTTCTGTGTGGCTCGCGTATGCCAAAGATCTCTTTCTCCCCCCCTGCGATAATGACAACAGCCTTTGTTTATCTTTCATTGACATCTCCAGTGAAACGCAGACCTCACGTGAACTTTCCATAGATTGCGTGAGTGGAATTGTTTATTTGCCCCCTGACTTCCTAATTATTCATGAGCATGTGTGGATGCATCTTGTCAACGTGTCAGAAGGTAAAATCATTGCTAAATTGTATTTAGGCAAACAGGATATATATCAGACAGAGATTCTCTCCTATTTCGCCTCACGAGACGCACTTCTCTTTCTTCTGGAGAATGATATAAAGTATTTCAAAATTCATAACTTTGAAAATTGTCTTAAACCATCTAGTTCAAAATTGAAGTGATGATGAGTGCATGATCATCTTGATAAGCCATTCTTGTAGAATCTTTCAGACACGGTTTTGCAATACAGTTGATTATTTTTATCAGTATTTAATCAGCACTTGTTGAGTACCTGCGAGAAAGCTTATGTTCAAGAAAGCAACATGCATGTGATAGATACGGTTATTTTGGAAGTGGCGATTCAGGAAGTTATGAAGTTATTAAAGAACTTTCTAAACTGAATCTTTAGGTGTTGATAAGAGCCCGCAATAGAATTGCAAGAAGTTAACAAAACGATGTTTTGGAACGTTTGTATATTTTGTAGTACGACCGCATGTTAAATTAATATACGCTGAAATGTTTCTGGAATGTTGCAAGCCATTCCGCCCATTCATTCATTTTATTGTGACAAGCACACAGATTAAGAAAAGCTACCACTGAATTAATCTCTCGAAGATGCGTTATTCCAATCCTCGTGCAAACGGGTTTTTTAAGAACTAACGTTTAATTTAATGGCGGAGGCCTGTTAGAGAAAGAATTAACGTAGTTTTTTTCATTTCTAATATTTCGTATTAATACCAGACAATGCTTCGTTGAGATGGAATAAGTTTAGGTTAAATTATGCATTAATGCATATAAATCACTAAAGAAGTGGAAAAACGAAAGTTACAATTTCTGAAAGTCGTAACTTAGTAAAACAACTGCACAATAAGCTGAAGCCTATAGTGCTAAACTTCATATTTGAATCTATAAACTCGTACAAAAATTCGTACCTGAACTCTTTCTCCTCTGTGAAAACACCCTAGGGGAAATTAATAAGCGTAGGCAAAAAACCTTGCTTGTGAAGCCGTGTTCCGTTAACAGATCTAGAGTGTTACAAACCATGCACAAACTATCAATTTCGTAAAACCTAAAGGTTAATTATGCACCTTATGTAACATATATTTTGAGGAAACAATATTAAACTCATACACAACTTAACATGTTAATAAGTACTTTTATATATTATAGTGTAACCTTGTGCTTGGTATGAACTTTCTATACACTATGAGTCTCACTGAAATATGGTTGTTGTTTTTTCTCGAAGTGGCACAAGTCAAATATTTTGTCACTGAAGCCGGGTTAAAACATGTTTGTTCCAAACATCACATACAATTTTCAGATGTTTACCAAAAATTAATGTTCATTAAACAAGTAATTTTGTTTGTATTTAAATGTTTTTACTGGATTCAATGACAAAGCCATGTAAAGTCTGGTTCATGCAGACAAGCAATTTTCGCTCAAGTGGAATGGCACATGCACTCTGTATTTTCGGCAAACTATCCGTTCGGCAAAATATCCCTTCGGCAAAATGTCCGTTCGGCAAAACGTCCGTTCGGAAAAACGTCCGTTCGGCAAAACGTCCGTGAGCAAAATGTCCGTTCGGCAAAATGTCCGTTCAGCAAAATGTCTTTCGGCAAAATGTCCAGGCATCTGTATGCACTCCGTTATTAAGTGCGTCGTTTCGCGAGCGGCATCATTCAGCGGAAAAATTAATTGCTAGTATAAACCAAGTTAACAAAAATAACCATGCATATAATATTTTATATAGTAGAGAGTGAGATACTGAAAAATACACAGTGCATGAGATTTTTCCATATCTTCACTTGAGCGTGTTTTGCTTGAGACTAAATAATAAACAGAACATTACACGGGGGTTTGAAGATATAAAAGCAATATTTTACACTATGATTTTACTCACTCGCTGCGCGTAAAATATTGTTTTCGCCACTCGAAGATAAAAGTCATATCTTCGCGCCGCCGTGTAATATCCTCTATATACATCGATTGTCTTTCATATAATATTATACGTGGCTTTTCTTTTTATGTATATGCTTGCTTATATGCATGCAAATACAAAATATACAGTGTAAGCATATTATCAACTAGATATTCTAGTTAAATAACTCTGCTCCAAGGGCGTACCGAACGGGACGAGGGGTGTGTGGAGTTTAGAAATTCGTCGGTAAAACGGGGATTATGTAGAATAAAACGTGACTGGTAGGAAAATTGATTGGAAATGGTCGATAAATTGATCGATACAATTGAGTTAGTCGACAAAGCGAAGAGGTAGTAGACGAACACTCCCATGCTCGGAATGATCTTGCGGTGCGCCACTGGGTGTGTCAACATACAAATCTGCGTATTTGTATATAGCAGTATTTCTATACCAGTGAAAAATGAACTACTGCATGTAATAATTATTATGTACTATTTAAAACACAAGAGGGAGTGTTTTATCATATTTAAAACGCGAATACTAATGAAGATGAGTTTTATCAGATATAAAGTCACTCCACGTGACATATTTTGGCTGACATGATTTGTCACATATTTTGGCTGACAAGATTTGTCATTTAGTGAATGTGTAATCATGCAGGATCAAAATACAAATCTTTAATTTATAGTTTAGTTCTACCAGATTCAACAAAGCATTACCATTAACATATAATTATATTTTAGGCAACATTTACAATATAAATTATTAGTTTTAGACGATGGCTTACTAGTCAATTTTGTATAAAACGTCAATAGATTTCCAAGAAAGTTAGTTGTAATACTAACTGCAATGATTCAATTTACATTAATTAAGAATATATGAACTTGTAATTTTATGTAATGTCTCTTCAAATAAATAATTATACTCTAATTGTTGCATCTCGGATTTATCAGTTTCGTCTTTAGTCACTCTGCTATATACAGTAGATCTACCCCAAAAATACTCCCGAGTACAGATGAGTAACAGACAGAGTGACACACGACTACGACGACGGTAACAGACGGATACAGACGAGTAAATTTTTTAAATACCACTGATATTCACCTACAGGCTAACTTTAAAATAGGGAATGGGAAAACGGAGAGTGGTGGAACCAGGTGGTGGGGAACTGGAAAGTGAGGCAAACAGGGAGCGGAGCAAATAGGTAGTGGGCAAAAGGGAGATCGGTGTGTGGGGATGCGAGGAGTGGGGAATAAGGAAATGGGAGTATTGGGACGAGCCACAGCAGCAGAGTGGGAAGACCACATAACCGTATAGCTCAAATGGAGAATGGCAAGGCTGTGGAATGGGAAATGTGGGAGTAACCTCAACATTTACCTTTCAGTATATATATATATATATATATATATATATATATATATATATATATATATATATATATATATATATATATATATATATATATATATATATATATATATATATATATATATATATATATATATATATATATATATCTCTATATATATATATATATATATATATATATATATATATATATATATATATATATATATATATATATATATATATATATATATATATATATATATATATATATATATATATATATATATATATACATACATATATACATATATATATATATATGGAGACCCGTCGGAAAATTGTGAATGTGGTCGGAAATTTTTGGAAAATTGACAACGTTGTCGGAAATTGTCAAAGTTTCCGACGTTGGTAAATTCGGAAATTTTTTGATAAATGGAGAAAATGGGTGATGTCCGGAAAAATTTTAAGATGTAACGAAAAATTTTGGTATGTCCGGAAAAATTTTTTGACCCCTAAAATGGTACACTGACCGAAATTTTTTTGGCGCCGGGGGGGGTGGTGGAGGTCGCCAAAAAAAATTTTGTCGGAAACTATTTTCAGGTTTGTCGGAAAGTACAGCCCTTGGTCCCCCCAAAAACAAGGGTCCCACGGCGCCACTGAGCCCACCCTAGGAGTTACTTTATGACCGGTCCCTTTAATATAAACTTGTATATATCTTAAGCTAGCCCAGATTTTCTCAGGGAGGGCAACAATTTTGTCAGGGAACGCCACTGGCTATCGTATGTTATAGGCTTCAAAGGCGGTAGAATCCCTGTGATGTTGTCCACTGTTCACCCGTGTTCTTTTAAGCAAATCTGCCTGCAAGCCCGTAGACACAATGCTGAAGTGATGAACGTCCGTAGATTTGCATGTAGGAATTCTTTTTTGAGCGCTCTCTTTTGCTTGATTTTTTTTTCTCGATTGTATGCTGCATGATTTTTTTCTTTCTCCTTGGATTGCAGGAAATTTTTTTTCGAAATCTTACAACCCCCCCTCAAAAATCAAATGATCCGCCCCTTAATTGTCTTATATATAGTTTTTTACGCTCTTTCTAGTGGTATAGTTTATTTTTCGTATAACAGAACATGAGATTTTACATTTTTTCCGATCACAGTAATTTACTTCGCAAAATTTAAAAGTTCTCAAATTTTTGGCTATAAAGCAAAAGTCAGAAGTGGTAACACATATAGTCTTGTTCACCAAGGCTTGAACTATAAGAAAATGCGTGTTACCAGCTTCTAACATAAAGTTGCCATCCAGTTGTACAAAATGATGCCTTGGCCAGCCGTCTATAGAAAAATAACCTTCCTGGTATTTCGCTTTGTACAATTTCAAACTTAAAAATTGAAGGATTTTAATGTTTTAACTCAGGTTTTGAATTTTTAGTAACAATAAAACTGTGTTGAAAGAAAAAGATAGACATTGATGTCGTCCAAAAGCACAACTCTTTCCTTGCTTCAACTAAGAGACTTTCATATATGTAGCATTTTCTTCGTCGAGTTTTATATCAAATATACTGTATTATTTAGCACTTGTATATTGTAAACACTCGAAAATACAACGGTGGAACATATTTATTTAATCCTACGTAAGTATAAATATCCAGTAGGAGATTACCACCCTCGCCCGTACGTGGTTTCGTGCGAGGGGATCAATAACACGAAAAGTCAAGTTGCGTCTAGTGAACGAAATTGCATGCTGAGTGGCGTATAGCGGCGTAGCTACTGAGCTGTATAACAACTGGAGGACCTGCTCCTATACTTCGTTCAGTCAACGATGTCGCCAAAAAAATGGCGGATATTGATGAAAAATGGCGCCATTTCCATGACTACTGGTCCCTAAATTCATGGTAATTGCCACTGAACAAGGCTCAAATATGAGCCCGCCGCAGTTTTCAACCCCCCCCCCCCGTGGTTTTTATAAAAATATTTCGGCTTTTTGCAGCGAATCCTTGTTGTTTTGATATTTTCGACAATATTTTTTCGACTGTTGACAATTTGTTCAAAGATGTGGAAGCCGTACACGTTAATTCTCGTCCGTGGAGCGTGAAAGCCGACAACAAACGACTATTAAAACCTCGCGAAATGTGGGCAAAAACGATACTTCAAGCCAGAGCAAACAGCCCATCCCTATAAGTTTTGGGTTAAATTACTCAAGTGCTACTGCTGGTGTCCCTGGGGTAAGCTAGGGCTGTTAATGCGACAGCGAGGCCAGTAAGCAAGACCTCAATGTGTGGTTATTTTTATAGTGGAAATTCCTTTCAAATTGTATGGACAACCTGACTGGCTCAGCTTTCAGATCTCACCTGAACAAAACAAGCTCTCAGTTACACCAGGAAGATGTTTTATGGCTATAAACACCAACTGGACTGACTTGGTCAAAATAAAGTCAAAACAACATTAAAATTGGTCATGAAAATATTCCGACATTCTGATTCAAACATTATTCTGCCAACAAGGCCAGCCCGGCCCTATGGCTATGATCTATTCTTAGCCTCCTCCGCAGGCCTCTCTATGGGTTTTAGCCTGCAAATGGGTTCCCACCACCCAATTCCTCGGGTGAGATGCCTGCGGAGGAGGCGAGAGTTCATGCCACTGTTGTTAGTGAAGCTCCATACCAAGAAACATGTATTGTAATGTTTCAAAATTAATTAAAGACAAAAATTTGCTTGATTTTGTATATTATTTATTTTAATTAAACTTGCTAATTTCATAATTATTCTTTGACCGTGCAGTTCACGAATAATTTTAAAACTTAACTGTACAATCAAGTTACATGTAATACACGTATTATTAAAACTAGAGCTCATGGGTTATTTCTTGGCTATTTGTAGTAGGCCTACATATAACACATTCCCACAAAATTATAGAGAAAAGTCATTGTTAGTTCTGCCAGTTAGGTCTGGCAAGAGCTACAGTAGTACACCACTACTCTTGCTATTTGAACATTCGAAAGAACTTGTATTTCTTGTCCACATGACTTACATCGGTTTTGCCCTAAATGAGAAATGTCCATTATATATTACATATAAAATAGTGACAGTACCATATGAAGACACTGAAGATGTATTGGGTCACAGATCTCAGACTCCAATTATAGGGATATTTACCGTAGAGCAGAGCCCAAAACTGGGGTTTGTTTGTTTTTTTATTTGCTGATTCGCCCAAGATACTGTTCAGTTAGACATTAATGATATGTTATCAAATGAGCACCAGTGGCTCTCCAGTTCACAAGTAAAATTGTCTGGTGTTAGACAGAGTAAAATAATAAAGTAAGGTGCATTAGGGACCGGTCATTATTTATGGCGGGGGGTGGCACCGAAGAGAAATGTTTTTCGTAGCAAAAATTTTGCTGACCCAACCATTAAAAATTAAAATTGATTACCCAACCTCAAATATCAATTAAAAAATAAATACCCACCCCTGGCCAAAAAATTTGCAAAAGGTACCATTCAGTTGTCACATATGTCCTTTACCACTTCTGTGACATAAGTTTGATAACGGATTGTGAAATTTTCTGCATTCTGAAGTTTCATGTTGTCTTGTAGCCTCCTGCGCAGACGTTGTTAGTGGCCCGAGGCCTCACCTAACGTCTGCTCACATTCGCTATGCATTTGACTTCCCGGCAATTGACCAATCACAATTATCTACACGATAATTGGAAGATCGACCTTCAATGACCTTCACATGGAAAACCCCAGCCTAGTGCCAGTCGTTCTGAAGCAAGCGCGAGAAAAAACGTGGATGTAGTACGAGACTGGGACCTAGGTGTGACGTCACCGCTAAAGGTGCTCCAGAACGCCTAGCAGATTTCAGTATTTTTAATATGGCGGAAAATTTATATATACAAATAACCTTGCAAATACGACAATGTTCGTTGATCATGTTCGATGTCTACATAACCAAATTCAAACTGTATTAAAAATGTGCTCAATTAAAAAAAATTATATACAAACAGCAATGGTCGTATAATCGTTGATGTTATTTATATACTCGCAAGTTGTGATCAACTGGTATACACAACTACGCTTTCTACTTGACAGGTTTAAGTAGCTGAGGAGATTGTAAACATGACTGTACTGTGTTGTCAAAACATTTTTAGTCGGAGACTCGGCATAATTTTCAAGCTTCTACATAGCATTTAATATGGCTTTATAATTTAGTAAACACGAGTCATATTTAGCCTGTTATTCCATTCTGACCGTATGGTAGCGAATTTCATTGTTCCGACAGCATTAGAGCAAAACTAATGACTTAATTATAAACGCAAAGAAAATTTCCATAACATTTTCTATTTACAAATACGGTATGCTTGGTAACCAGGCCAGGGACCACTTTTTTGAAATCAGGGACCATTTTACCGAAATCTGCTAGGCTCTCTCGCTGACGCGTTCCGCACAGCACACCCAGGCATAAAACCTTTAAGACTTATTTAAATATATCAAAGCAGTGAATAGAGAGAGAGCCTGGGACTAGGCTGGGAAAACCCAACACACGGCAAGATAAATGGAAGGCCATTATCAACAAATCTGCAATATTTTTAAAGTTGAAAGTTTTACTGTTCATCAGAAAAAGGCTATTCATTCTATCATAAACGAAAGGAAGGATGTTTTTGTTAATCTCCCAACTGGCGCAGGAAAATCACTCATTTATCAAGCGTTACCTAAGCTATTCGATGAAAAATTTGGTGGTAAACATGTAGTTATCGTGGTTTCGCCTTTGATTAATTTGATGCGAGATCAAGTAAAGAAGCTACGCGATTTAGGAGTCAGTGCTGTGTCGTTAAGTGAAATCGAGAGCGACGAAGAAGAGAAGGCATTGCAAGAAGGGAAATTTTCTGTAGTATATGGCACACCAGAGGCATTATTGAAGACCGAACGATGGAGAAGAATGCTTTCCAACAAAGTATACAGCAAAATGGTTTGTGCTGTGGCTATTGATGAAGCGCATGTGATTAAACAATGGTATGTATTGTATGTCTTGAATTTGTCTTTTTATACGTTGCCTCATATTATCTATTGGCATTGAATGTCGTACTAACAATATTATACAGTATATATGAGCCATTATTGTCAATATACACATCCCAACCCTCTGATTTCTATTTTTTAAATACTACCATTATTAATAATCTTGCAGTTTGGGTATTATACTCATATACCCAACCCCTAAGAGGCCCTAAGAAAAAATTGCATTTTCTACTCTTAACTCCATGAGCCCTATCAAGTTTTTTTTTGTGAAGGGGAGGATATAAAATATTTTATATATTACCATTCACAAAAAAACTTGACAGGGCTCGTCCTCAGTAAATATGAACCTTCATTAGCCTCAAACCCTCTGTGTAAACCCTAAGAAATTGCTAATGGGGGGGGGGGGGGTATCGTATATTAAATGTTTTAGTCCTGTTAAAACAATACCAAATAAATACTGTAAATGGTTAATAAGTACTAATAACAATTGAAAATAAAATGATAAATTATGATGGGGTCATTGGTATTTTAGCAGTTGACATTTTATCCCTGGCCAAGTTCGTTCCTTGTAATCAATATACTGGTGCTTTATAGTATAAACTGAGACTGCCACTGCATGTAATTAGCTTTTGTCCAACTGAATACATTCATTAATGACTAATGGTTGACTTGTTTATGTTCAAGAATCTTATTAATGACAAGTAAAATTGTCTGCCATTATAAAATACAGATGAAGCTAGCAAGACTAATATGTGGTTTAATATTGATTTAGGGGAACATCATCAAGCTCTAAATATGCAGCATTCTGTGAAGCATATGGTCGCCTGCATGAGCTTCGAGCCCTATTGTCACCAGATGTAAGCTTCATTGCACTTACAGCAACTGCTACTCTTGATACTAAGAAATTTATCTTGGATACTTTGTGTATGAATAATCCAGTAGAGGTACAAGAAAGTCCCAACAAGAAAAATGTCATGTATTCTGTTACCTACATCCAACAATCGCATAGAATTGATGATACTTTTCAATGGATTGTTGATGAAATCATTAACATGGGAAGTTCCGCAGAATGAGTTATCATTTATTGCCAAACCATCAAGCAATGTAGTGTTGTTTATTC